GATGTGCAGAAACAGATAAAGTCAGATTTGCCATCTTTGTGTTGAAGTCCAATGCATTGTTCTGGTGGGAAGTACAATCACTAGCCAGAACAAACGTATTGCAAACTTTAACATGGGCAGAATTTGATAACAGGTTCAAAGAGCAATTTTGTCCTAAAGTTGCCATAAGACAGATGGAAGAAGACTTTCTAAAGCTACAGGAAGGCATCGGATCTGTTCGAGAGTATACAGAGAAGTTCATTGAATACTCACGATTTGCTTAACATTATATCTCATCTGAATCAAGGAAGGTAGAGAGATACATTTGGGGATTGAAGCCATCCATCCGAGAGTTTGTAATAGCCATGAATCCTGCTACATTCTCTTTAACAATTGATGCAGCAGAAGTGACTGAGAGGAAGAAGAACTGCCAAGAGGAAGGAAAAGTGATTGAAAAGAGGAAATGGGAAGGGTCATCGATAGGATACCGAGGGCCAAAGTCTGTGAAATATGGCAACCCACCTGTTCAAATAATTAATAAAAAAGCTTGTTCATGATGTCATCAAATTCATCAAGGTGATTGCAAAACAGATCTGAGGAAATGCTATCAGTGTGGTGAAGCAGTTCATTTGTCAAGAAATTTCCCGATGACTAAGAGATGTTTCAATTGGAATTCACCAGATCATCTCATACCTAACTGCCCACAATTGAAAGCTCCACAACTAACCATGGGAAGTAATACCTCGAGTGCCCGTGGAAGATCAAGTATTGGTAGAGGGGGACCAAGTGGAGCGCGGGGTTGATCTTTTTAAATGACCAAACATGAAGCCGAAACTACACTAGATATAGTGACAGGTACAGTCCTTGTGAACTCTCTATATGCTAAAGTGTTACTTGACTCAGGTGCAAACTTCTCGTTTGTATCCCCATCATTTGCTCTATATGCTTGCATGAGTTCTGTGCCACTCGACGATAAATAAGAAGTTGATACTGCTAATGGTAAAATATTTATGGATTATGTGTTCAATAAGAGTGCTATTATGAATGAGGGATGTGAGTTACCAATCACACTATTTCCCATGCCCATGAAAAAGTTTGATATAGTAGTAGGGATGGATTGGTTGGCGGAAAATCAGGCCAGTATTGTTTGTGATAAAAAGATGATCATAATAATCTTGCCTGACAGAGGGTCAGTTGTTATTTACGGTGATCCTCAGAATCATCATATCAGTCTGTTAACTGTGTTAAAAGCCTGAAAATGTTTTCAAAAGAAAGGTAGGGGGTATATAGTTTATGCAATTGATGCGAATAAAGAAAAGGAAAGCAAGAATTGATTCCGATTGTCAGTGAGTATCCTGAAGTCTTTCTAGAGGACTTATCCAGATTACCACCAGACAGAGTTATTGAATTTGGGATTGATTTGATAACCGGAGCAACACCAGTAGCTAAAGCACCATACCGATTAGCTTCATATGAACTAAAAGAATTTTCTACATAATTAAATGATTTGATTCATCAAGGATTCATCAGACCTAGTACTTCACCATGGGGAGCTCCAGTTCTTTTTGTGAAAAAGAAATACAGGTCCCTGCGCATGTGTACCGATTACTGGGAACTGAACAAGTTGACAATAAAGAATAAATATCCATTGCCAAGAATTGATGACTTGTTCGATCAACTAGTGGGAGCTAGTTACTTTTCAAAAATTGATTTACGATCAGGTTATCATCAGCTTAAAGTTAAAGAGGAAGATATTGCCAAAACAGCTTTTCGAACCAGGTACGGACACCATGAATTCCTAGTTATGTCATTCGGCTTAACTAATGCACCAGCAACTTTTATAGATTTAGTGAATCAAGTATGCAGATAATATCTTGATAAATTCGTTATTGTATTTATTGATGATATTCTCATATACTCTAAAACCAAAGAAGAGCATGTAGAACACCTTCGTTTGATGCTCGTGCTCTTGAAAAGAAAAAAGTTTTACGCAAAGTTGTCAAGATGTGAATTCTTGTTAAAGGAAGTTCAATTCCTTGGGCATGTTATATCAGAAGCAGGGCTAAAAGTGGATCCTGCAAAGCTATATGAAGATCAATGGATATGTTTTGATGTTGAATGTTATGTAACATGTAGTATAAGAGCATGTAATTGGAATTTTTGGGTTGTGTATTTTGTAATATAGTTCTTGTACTTTGGACCTTTGTGGGATTAAACATGTATTCCCTGAATGAATTATATGTTATATACAATGTGAGTTATGGGGTGTTACAATCAAATTACTGAGAGAGAGGATCAACATTCTCCCCCATTTGATGATAACAAGACAACATAAAAAAAGATGTCTGATCAAATAACAGTTAGGAAAAGTTACATATAAAGTACATGTCCCTTTTAACTGTTTTGGGATCTTTATCAGTGAGTCAGTCTTTACTTAGAAAATTGTCATAAGTCTAAGAATAGTTAAAAAAAAAGGTAAACTGAAACTAAAAGTATATTCACTGACTTGTAGATTGTCAATGAATGTAAGAGTGTCACTATAACTCATAGACTTGTGTCCCTATTACTCTTTTCAGGGATCTTTTTTAGTGATGCATGATAATACTTATATTAAATTCAAAGGAAATATTACAAGTGTTTCAGTACATGTCTAGACTTACAGAATATAAGAATAATCACTGAAAGTAGACATAGTAAATAGTTTACTCAGTGCATGGACAAATTACAAAGGAAAGAAACTAGTCTAAGTCGCTCAGATTAATGTAACCTGGTACATTTTCACCAAGCTCCTTTCGATGTAGAAACTCGCTTATTATCTTTCGGTCCATCATTACACATCTTAAGTCATCGTTTAGCAAGAACCTGAGATATACGAGGTGTTCCATAAGACATAGATGTATGTCAGACATTTTCTGAAATCTTACTTCATCGTCATAGTCAAGGAATATAAGTCCTAATTCAGGTTTGAAGTGCAGAGTGTTGGGTACATAATGTCATCCCTTCGCTGGCAATGAAGGATTCAGCATAGAGATGTCTGTATTCTCCGAAACCTTCAGGACTTCATCTAAGGAAAACATTGTTTCATGTTCGTTCCTTAGGGATGGTCCATCATGAAGGCTTGAAAGTCTTTTCTTTCTTCCTTCTTTTTTCAGCGTTGGCACTTCAGAGAATGCGACATATCTGAACACCTTCTTGATCAACTTGTTGATGATGTCTTCGATAATCGTCTTATATATTGACTTTGAGCATTGAATGGCTTGTCGGATCTCCAGCCATTCACTATAGCCATATTTGCCTAAATAGGAGGGCCACTCGGTTACGGCCTCGAGATTGTCCCTGGTGATTAGCATGGAGAGCAGCATCCCACTGTCTTTTGGTCATCCGCTAATGCTGACGCTCTTGATTGGGTGAGGGTTGATTCTCTTATTGATACTTGCTTCTCTCCAGTGCTTGTCCTGCTCAACCAGCTTCAGATTTTTCTCGTGTTCAGCTTCTGCAAGTGATATGAGCTTAGCTTGGGCCTAGACAACAGTCACCTTCATTTTGGACTTTCTCTTGGGAAGAACTTTTTCAGCTAGAGACTTGGCCAGCTTTAAGCTGTCCTCAGTCTGCTTCTTTTGGATTGCCAGTTCTTCTTTAGCTCTTAAGGCCTCGAGTCTTTCAGCTTCTGTCAGGAAGTCGAACTGACCACCAATAGAGGTACGAAGAGGAATTTTTACTCTACTCTGGTCGAGTGACTCCTTGAGTTGAGTCAGCTGCTGGTCGGTGGGAGTGCTAGGGGTAGGGTTCTCAGGGACCCATTCCAGCTGACCGTATGTAGTAGAAGGTATCTCGAGTTGATACAAGGAGGTGATGACTACCTGAGAAGATGAGTCTTCAAACAAGGATTGGGTAGTTTGGAATAATACCTTTAAGTTCCTTTCTTCTGCGACGCCTTTCCCTTTCGACTTAGGGCCCTGGTTCTTTTCAGGTGTTGGCTCTTCATCCCTTTGTTCCCCCTGGGATGCGAAATCCCTAAGGGCAACTCCTTTGGTGGCAGTGGTAGGACGCTGGTACTGGATGGTGAAGTCGTCTTTATCGTCATCATCATCGTCGTCATCCAGGTCGTTGCCGGAGTCAGGGAGATCAGGAGAGTCACTTTCCTCATTATCATCTTCATCTTCCACATCACCAGCAATAGGTGCAGAGGTTGTGGGAAGGTCATCATCACGAGATTCAACTCGGATGGCATCAACGTCCTCAGCTATAGCAGCTTCACTGCACGTTGGTATATCGCAGACAACCTCAACTTTAGCATCAGGAGCTTCAGCTTCATTCGTTGTTGAAGCAACGTTTTCAACAGGAGCGTCAGTAGATGGTCCAGCAGCGTTGGACCTCATCTCTCCCTTTCTGGCGATTGCTTGAGAGCATAAGGCAAAGAGTTGGTCAACATTGTGGATTTAAAGGACCATCACATCTTCTAGCCGCATCAGAGCACTGGCTAGCCTGATAGTTGCCTCACGCGCTTCATTTAGCTGGGCGTAGTCATCAACAGAGAAAGACAGAGTAGGCGCTAGTACTGGTCGATTGAGGGCGGCCAGAACTTGTTGAAGTAGTTCCGCTTGATGAAGAGAGTGAGCCAATGCGTCATCATCCCTGCTTGTGAGAGTAGTTATGGCTTCAGCATTTGCTCGTACAACCTCTTGAAGAGAGAAGATTTGGCTCTTTACGTCTTGCACTTCAGCCTTGACAGCTAAGAAGTCTGCAACAACATCTTCTTTTCGAGGCATATCCTTATGGACCTCGTCCATCTTGATTAGGACAGTCTGGACGGCTGGGAGGATTATCTTGATATCCATTGCCATGTCGTACTCCTATTCATTCATAGCCTGAGCTTTAGACGGACTTGAAAAATAGTGTGAATGAGCAAAAAGAAGCTCTTGGTTAGAACAAATGAAGGGGTAGGAGTGCGGAGTACCTGAGGGGCCTTCAGCGTTATCTGAACGATTAACGCTGGTATGCTCCATGGTACACTCATAAAGATGAGCACCAGTTTACTAGGGAGTCTCGAGAGGAGCTACCTCAGGTCCAGTGGTGAGTATCTCATCATTAGTGAGGATTGGTACTGATGAATCATGGACACGTGTAGCAACCAAGGATGGAGGAGAAGAGAAGATGGCGTCACAAATTTTCTTAGACCTACATTCACCATAAAGTGACCCTTGCGGTGATAGTTGTAGCAGATCGCTAAAGCCTTGTCTATATTATCAAACTTTGGCATTTCCTTGATGGTCAGCGAAGGGGATCTGTGGAAATTACTTTTCTTGGTGAATCTTCTAAAACATTTAGTAAATAGCGCCAGTGATTCATCAAATTCTGTGAGATCAGATTCTAATAAATCCTCAGAGTTAGTAGAATCTAACTCAGTGATAACAACAGGAGGAAGAGAAGAAAAATATGGGAGTTTAGCTAAAGCATCTTCAGAGATTAGAGTTAATGGAGAGCTCTTCATTTCTCTGTAATCCTTGATTAGATTCCTTTTCAGCTGTCGAGACTGCTCATGATTAAGCAATATCCCATAAAGAGTGCTAAGAGAGAGAGGAGATGTCATTGGACATCTTGAGACACATGGAATAAGTATCCCAAGACTCAGTCAAACATTATAGAAACTTCGTTAAAGTTTCAGAATTAGATTATTCCGTGTCTGTAGTCCTTAAATCTATAAGAAGATAATTAAAATGTTGATGTACTTCAGACAATGTTTCAGTCTTTCCACAAAGAAAGTTTTCGTATTGTCTTACTACATTATTCTTCCTCGATTCTTGAACCTGAGAGGTTCCTTCATATTGAACACATAAAGTGTCCCACATGGCTTTCGAGGTTCTAAGTTTCATAACAGAATGATAAACCTCATGAGGAAGAGACATAGGTATTATAGACCTAGCACGAGTGTCTATAGCTATCTTCTTTTTGTCTTCATTGCTCCATTGATGAGGGAGCTATGGAATATGTCGTTCAGGAATCGTGGCACTCGTAGCTGTTTCAGGAACAACCGAAGAAATAGCATATGGAACATCAGGTCCATTTTCTATATAGTGTGAAATTTCAGGATCCACACCTTCCAGAAAGAGGGACATCCGATTTTTCCAAACACTAAAGTTGTCTCGGATAAAACGGGGTGATTTGGCATGAGAGCCATTATCTTGAAAGTGTGTGTTTAAAAAGTTTTGTAAAGCCATTAGAAAGCAGTAAGATTATCTAGAGAAAAAGATAATATAATGCAGAAAAACAACTAAACGACAAGGATAGAGAATACATTACTCTATTACCACTTGTTGGTCCTGTTAGAGGCTACAAGATGTGTATAACAATTTATAGAATGGGGGGATGAATACAAACATAGTAAACTTTTGAAATTTAAAATATATATTGATAAAGAAAGATCAATACAGATTTTACAAGATTGTTTGCGGAAAGATAAAGTAAATATAACCTATCTAATCAATCTAAGTTAGACACTAGTTCTTAGCAAAGAGAAATGATTTGCTGTAAGAGACTTATAAGGAAGTTAGTTCTTTCTGGGTAAGAACTATTTAGAATACTAAAAAGGGATTCTAACTTGATTTTGAAGATAAGCATATTGTGTTCTTAGATGTGTGTTCTTTTACTTATGAACGTAAGTTAGGGCGCAAGAGTAAGTATTAGAGTATCTCTGGATGGAGATAGAACACATCTATTTATACCCATTGCATTAAATGCACATTTAATGCAACGTAGTAGGGTTTGAACACGTGTCAAGTCTTTAGAGAAAGACTTGTCCTTTGCTACAGTGAATAGTACAAAAGCCTATTCATGAGCAGACATTCTTTCATAAAGTTGGTGGGTAGTAGAGTCAACTAATCGGCTCTGTACCGTACTATACTTTAGAAAGGGTCTGGGTTTGTCCTTTGTGTGTATAAGAACAAGACAAAAGCTATCATGCTCAACAAGCTTCTTTTGATCGTTGAATGCTAGAATAACGTGAAGGTCTCTTCAGCATTCGTTGAGGCTTGGGCAGTCTTCACACATGTGTAGACCAGATTGTAATCACTGAATACCACTTCAAATCACGTTTTTGCCAGTCTTTAATCTTCAGTTTCAGTCTTCGACTTTCGCTGGAAGGTTCTTTGGTATGAGTTTTGTTTTCTTGAAGTATCATTATCGTTGATAGATTTACATTACATGTTCTCAGTTATCACTAAACAGATTCACTGATGATCGCTGGAACTAAAAGACAGAAACATAAATACGGCGTACAAAGTAAAAGGGATTATCTTCAAATCACTGAGAGAGAGGATCAACAAGAGATGACGTTTTCTCTGACCTCTCAGCTGTCAAAGCTGACGTCAATGATGTGAAGGAACGACTTCTTGTGGTGCAAGCCAATGTACGTACCAACCCTGACGCTATCTCTGCTCTCAATAGAAAAGATGATAAAGCGAATGCTCAGCTTGCCAAGCATGGTGAGTTGTTGCAGCAGATATTGGAACATCTTCAATGTCCAATACCAGTTCCTATACCCTCTTTCACAGCAATGGATCGCCTATCACTGGATCAGACTCTCGAAGTCAGTCTTCTTCAAGCTAGATCGCCGACCATGCTTGAACAACGAATGGACATAATAGCACTGAGTTGGCTGCTGTTGCTTCTGTGCCTACCACACTAGTTGAAGTTGATGCTCAAAGAGCTGAACCTAATGAAGCTAAGGTTGTCGATGATGCCATCACTACCCATGAATCTGAAGCTAAGGTTGTTGATGATACAGTCAGAACTGATGCTGAAGCTCATGACGAAGACCTTCCTATCACCCCTGCAGCTGATGTTGGTAATGAGGAAGATGAAGATGAAGAAGATGACGATGAAGATGACGATGACTCTCCATCCCTTCCTGACGCTGGAAAAGATATTAGTGGTGATGATGATAAAGATGACGATGACTTCATAATTCAGTACCACAAGCCTGTCAGTGCTCTGAAATGAGTCTCTCTCAGGGATTGTTCATCCCGGGGGAGAAAGAGAAAGAGACTTCCTCAAAGAACCAGAACATGTCCTCAAAAGACAAAGGTATTGCTGAAGAAGGAAATCTCAAAGTTCTCTTTAAACCTGTCGTATCTCAAGATACTGAACCTCCAGGTTTGCAATAGGCACTTCCTTATGTCAACTCTCCTCTTTAAACCCTTCTACAACCTGTGGTCGTCTAGAGTAATGGGTACCTGAAAACCCAACTTCTAGTGTTCCTAGCGACCAACAGATGACTCGGCTTAAGGAATCACTCGACCAAACTAGAGTAAAAATTTCTCTTCGAACCTTTAGTTGTGGTGAGTTTGACTTCCTTACTAAAACTGAAAGACTCGAAGCACTCAAGGCTGAGGAAGAACTCAGAATTCAATGACAACAAACTGAGGACAACCTAAAGCTAGCCAAGTCTCTTGCTACTTAAGCTCTTCCAAAAAAATCGTCTAAAAAGATGGTGAACGCTATCAAGGCCCATGTTAAGTTGATTTCAATTGCAAAAGTTGAACGTGAAAAGCCAATAAAGTGGAACGACCGAGACAAGAAATGGAGTGAAGATCATCCTAATAAGAGAATAATCCTTACCGCATCTTCTACGTCACAATCAAATGGACAAATGAAAGATGGTGGACTTCTCATCTCCGTGCTCATCACTAGAGACAACCTTGAAGTTATTACTGGGTATCCTTCCTACCTTGGACAATATGACTACAATGAATGGCCGGAAATTTGCCAAGCCATTCAACGTTCAAAGTCAAGACACAAGCCAATAATTGAAGACACCCTCAGCGGGCTGATCAAGAAGATGTCCAAATTTGTTGATGTACCTTCAAAGCCGATATTGAAGAAAGGTGGAAGAAGAAACCTTCAGATCCTAACGATGAACCAACTCTGATGAATGAACATGAAACCAAGTTCTCCCTGGAGGAAGTCCTGAAGGATTCGAAGAAGCCAGACATCTCTATGTTGAACCTCTCTTTGTCAGCAAAGGGTCCTTAGATACCCAACACTGTGCATATAAATTCTGAGTTCGGATTTATATTCCTTGACTATGAAGGCGAACACGGCTTTCAGAGAGTGTCTGAGTTTGGTCTTTGTCCTATAGAAGATCTTGATTATCTAAGATATTGGTTGGACAATGATCTTTATGGTGAAATGATAGACCGCAGGATAAGAAAAGATATTCTACGTCGAAAGATGCTTGGAGAAGAAGTACCTGGTTACATCGACCTCAGCGACTTAGATTAGTTAAAAATTTCTCTCTTGTAATTTTTATCTTTCATTGTAAGTCTTATTTCTCTATGTCTTTTCTTTCTATGTACAACTTATGTGTAATAAGTCTAGAATGTACTAACTATAACACTTGTAATTCTTCTTTGATTAATATAAGTATTTCATCAGTATCACTGAAAAGGATCCCTGAAAAGAGAAATAGGGACACATGTCTTTGAGTTCCAGTATGCTCCTACAGTCACTGACAATCTTTAGTCAGTGAACATGTTTTTAGTATCAGTTTCCCTTTTTTTACTTTTTCTTAAACTTGTAACTTAAGAAAACTTATATAGTAAAAATTGCATCACTGAAAAAAGATCCCAAAATAGTTGAAAGAGACATGTAATTTATACGTAACTTTTCCTTACTATTAAACCTTGAGACAATTTTCTTTATGTGGCTTTGTGATCATCAAATAGGGGGAGATTGTTTATCCTCTCTCTCATTGATTCGATGATAATCCCTTTTTCCTTTTGAAGTATTATGTTTCTGTCTTTTCAGTTCCAGCGATCATTACTGAGTCTGTTCAGTGATCGCTGAAACATGCATTGTAATCCTACAACGACAACGATACTTCAAGAAGACAAAACTCACACCCAAGAACCTTCAGTGAATGTCGAAGACTGAAACTGAAGATTAGTGACTGGCGCGTTCATGATCTGAAGCGGTATTCAATGATTACAACCTAGTCAACATACGTATGAAGATTGCACAAGCCTTAGCGAATGCTGAAGAGACCTCCAGCGTTATTCCAGCATTCAGCGATCAAATGAAGCTTTCCATGCACGATTGTTTTTGTCTTGTCCTTACACACACAATGGAAAAACCCATACCCTTTCAAGAGTATAGTACTGCACGGAGCCGACTAGTCGACTCTAGTGCCCACCAACTCCATGAAAGAATGCCTGCTCATGAATAAACAATAGTACTATTCACTGTTGCAAAGGATAATCTTTCCTCTAAAATCTTGACATGTGTTTTAACCTATCTGATTTGCATTCAATGCAATGGGTATAAATATATAAGTGCTCTACTCATGCACTACATCTACAACACATAAAAGAACACATACGCTTATCTTCAAGCAAGTTAGAACTTCTCTCTAATTCTAAAGTTCTTACCCGAGAAGAACATCTTTCTGTCTTTATCTTATTCGGCAAATTTCTTGTTAGAATCCAAGCGCTTACCACTACGCCAAAAGCAATTGATGGTGGAGAAGGCGCAACTTATTTCCTTATAGCATAGTCGCCAGCGCCACGTTTTGATTTAGGAAAATGCTAGTCATAACCCAACAATCCCCCCAGCATATGCCAGCACTAACAAGATCTTCGCTAGAAGTCAATGGCTGCACAGCATGCCTTTGGCATTACTATGCACTCCATGGGTTTCGAACCCATGACCTGCTTTGATACCACATGTTAGGATCCAAGCGCTTACCACTACCAAAAGCAATTGCTGGTCGAGAAGGCGCAACTTATTTTCTTATAGCGTACGAGCCAGCGCCACGTTTCGATTTAGGAAAATGTTGGTCAATGACCCAACATTTCTTATATTTGCTAAGTATATTTGTGTGTAATCTTAAATTGTTTTAGATAGGTTATCTTTACCTTTTCTATTTCCAAAAACCATCTGTAAAAATCTGTATTGATCCTTCTATATCAATATATATTTTTAAATCTGAAAGTTTTTTGTGTTTGTATTCATCCCCCCCCCCTTCTACAAATTGTTCCTCTAAACTCCTGTAGACCCGACTGGGACCAACACCTACCATTATTTGATTGTATTGTAATCGTCATGTAATGGTAGATAATTTTATGAAGTTGTGGTATAAAGAGAAGTATATTCTAGATCTTTGTATTACATTAGATCACACTTGACTATACTTGAATGTAATTTTCTCTCTACACAATCTTTCTCTCTCTCAAGCTTGTAGCTACTTTGAAGATTAATGACATATGACTTCTCTGATCCAATCTACTATTCTTGATTAGTTTCACATTGCTTCTATATTGTTCTTTTGTGACTTACATCAATTTTTATATCATTGGTAATAACAATTGTGTTTAGAGTTACTAATCACAGATCTTGATTATTGAAAAATCAAACTGCTCTAATATTAAGTGTTGGTCCGAAAAGTTATTATTATGGCAATAATCTGTTGAAGATAGGGTTGATTACAATTTTCTTCTAAGGGGTCGTTTACCAAACACTTACCCGGTAAGCGTTTACCGATAAAATTTAACACTGTTGTTTACTTACCCGGTAAGCTTTTAGTCCATCAAAACGATATCGTATGCAACAATTCACCCGGTAAGCGTTTACCGTGGTAAGACTCATCACCCTCACTTACCGGGTAAGACATTTGGTCCTTATCTTGCTCTTACCGCGTAAGATTCTTAGCCCTTACGATATTCATTCAGAAAGGTAATATGACTTGGTGTTCACTTACCCAAATAAGCGTCTGGTAAATGGCCTCAAAGTTTTAATTATTTAAAAAACCTTTACAAGAACAGAAGTTTTTGTAGAACTGGATATGAAACCAACTGATAGTAACAACCTAAACAGCTTACACACACCGAAATACAACCAAGGTACATGGGGTTTTTTACCTTTCTCTAATTATGCCCTTGAAATAAGTATGGTAATTTTTTAGGATGTTCTTTTAGTGTATCTTGGGTTCATGATGGAAATAATCCAACAAAATACCAAACTTACAGAAATAACACAACGTTTTGTTTCTTTTAGAATCAAACCACCAAATTAGCATTTAGCATGTAACGGTGCATACAGGGGCTTATTTGCAAAAAACAATTGTTTGACCGATGTGACCTGATGTGACCGGTCCCTAAGCCGACTTTGACCACCCTTACTCACCGGCCAATGCGTGGTGCGTAAGGGGCCCACACCACTCAAATTTATTTATTTATTTTCAATTTTTTGCTTATTTCTAATACAACACTATTCAATTTTGTCTTTTTCCTCTTCAATCCCATTATATAAACAATTCAAATTTTCTATTACCGACACAAAACCATCACTTTCATCTTCACTACCTTAATACAATCTCCATTACCAAATTGAAAAAAAAAATTATATCAAGAACCTTTATAGAATCTCCATTACCAAATTGAAAAAAAAAATTTATATCAAGAACCTTTATAGAATCTCCATTACCAAATTGAATATTTAGATACCTCTTTCACCCTCGTCGATCAAAACTTGATCGTCTTTATCATTGTAAGTTTACGTCTATTAATTTTAATATAATCTCATTTTTACAACAAATTTTTATATGTTGTTTTTGTAACCTCTTTATCTTATATCTATCAGCGGATTATTATGAAACATTTGTTAATATAAAATCAGGTATTGAAATTTCAAAAACAATTTTAAGGGCATTACGGAGGTCGGAAAACAAATTAGAAATGCTTAGAATTTCATGCTTCGGTCATTGGTTCTATATTCGGTCAACACATCAAGATTTAATGCTCATGCATTTGATATTACAAATGCAGGTGCAACCACTAGAGCAGGACCGTAAAGAGGCATTGTATAATGTCGGAGGACGTCTTTTACATTTCAGACAAGAAGAATTTTGTCTCGTTACTGCTACGAATTTTTGACCAAACAAGCCTTCATTACCAAAGATAATAGAATCGTCCTTTAGAACTCGGGTTTTAGACCTTGATGAAAAT